GTGGCTGAGACAGGAGGATCACTTCAAGTCCAGGCTGCATAATGAGACCCTGTACTAAATAAATACAAGATTAAAAAAAAGAAGAAGAGGGAGCCAGGGAGATGGCTCAGTAGAATAAGCACTTGCCTGGAAAGCGCAAGGGTCTGAGTCCAATCCCTGGTTCCACCAAAAAATAAATAAAGAAGGGCTGGGAGTGTAACTCTGTGGCAGAACATTCCTGGATTCAATCCCTGGCACTGCAAAGGGAAGGAAGGGGCCCTCAGTGACAGAGAGCTCAGTGTGGGTCTGTAGTCAGCACCAAGGAGCTTTAGGTATAGTTGGCCGCCTCCTTCCCAGGTCCCAGCTCCACTGCCAGCCAGCCTTGAGCTAGCGTTTGGTTCTCCTTGGACACAGTGCCTCTGGCTGCCAGGTGGGGGCAGGGTGCTTCCCGCCCAAGGGCCAGCCTAAGAGCAGGTGGGGTCCCTAACCAACCTACTGATTAGAACTGGAGCTAAGAGACATCATTCACAATTCCATGTGTAACAAGACTTGAGATATTTCCACCAATCTTTTTTTTTTTTTATTTTAACATTTATTGTGTGTATATGTGTGTGTGTGTGTGTGTGTTTGTGTGTGGCCAGCTCAGCCCACCAGGGGGCGGGACGGGCTGGCATGTGGTGCTGGGGGATTGAACCGCGGTCCCTGTGCTTTGCCAACCTTGTTCCAAGTAGGTGCTTTAGACCACTGAGCCATCTCTCCAGCCCCATATAAGGTTTTTTTTTTTTTTTTGATTCCTCGAATGCCTTCAGGGCCCTTTTGGCCAGCTGGAGAGTTGTGAGTTTCGAACTCCAGCAACCTGAGGCTGACAGCTTTGCGGAAGCAGCCACTTAAAGGACTGAGCTAGAGCCAGGCTCCCCCAATCTTTAAAAAAAAAAACTAGCGTTTCAAGCCAGGGCCTTCACTCTTGAGTATATTTTTCAGCTGTTTTTAAGATTGTCTCAATAAGTTGCCTGGGCTGATGCAGTCCTCCTGTCCCATCCAACCAGGGTGCTGGGATCATGAGTGTATGTTACTATGTCCTGTTCCATTCAAGCTTTAATATCTCCTTGTGGTTGTTTTTGTTGTTGTTGTTGTTGTTGTTTTTCAGAACCGGGGATTGAACTCAGGCCCTTGCACTTGCCAGGCAAACGCTTATTCTACTGAGCCATTTCCCCGGCCCCCTTTAATATCTCCTTGATGTATGTAAAATTTTATTTTCCTGTTTAAGAAACTCCTAAGCACACACACACACACAAAAAAAAAAACAGTAACCAAGTCTCATAAGCACAGGGCTGGCCAAATAATAGCTCAGTGGATTAAAGCACCTGCAAGCAGGAGCAGGGGTGGGGGTTCGATCTCCATTCTGCTGTGCTGGCCCTGCTCCCATGGCGAACTGAGCTGGCAATTGAGACTTGGCAATTAAGACTGGGCCTGTGGTGTGCGCCTATAATCCTAGCTCTTGGGAGGCTGTAAACAGGCGGATCACTATAAGTCCCATCTAGTAGTGAAACCCTGAACACTTTGTAGACCCTTCCCTAAAATACAAAAAAAACAACAACAAAAAAACTCATATGCACAAGCAGAAATTATACCCAGAGAGAGCTGCCCATTTCACCAGTCCTTAGTCAGTTTGTGTCACTGATCTGCTTTACCTGCCTGACTTCTGTAGCTGTATACACTTAAGACCCATATCCTAAGTCCCCTCCTTTCCAAACCCACTGACCTCTTGCCTAAACTTTGGGACAATCTAATTAATATCCTTACTCCCAGTTTAAAACCCAATTCCCATTTCTTTTTACTTAAAACTTTCACTGGCTCCTTTCTCAACAGCTACAATTCACATTATTTAGCTTTGCGGTCCAGGCCCACATCTAGCACTCCCTGGACATCTCTTCCAGTTTGATACTAAACCCCTCCCCTTAAACCCACCCTTCAGGATCCCCCCCCCAGGGGGCAACCCTTGCAAGCCCTGTGAACAGGGCTCTGTAAGTGGTGAGGGGCGTGCACCCTGCAGCTTGCAGCTGCGGCGGCCTTGGTGCCCCCCCCAGCCCTGCCAGAGTTGGCCAGCAGCTGCAGGCAGGCACGCTGCGGTCGCTGAGCTCCGCGCCAACTCTGCTGGCAGTGTGCAAATTCACAGAGAAACATGAATGGATAACAACAGAAAATGGTACTGGAGCAGTGGGAATCAGCAATTTTGCACGGGAAGCTTCGGGAGATGTTTACTGTAGAACGTCTAAAATTGGGACAAAAATTGAAAAAGCATGAGTTTGGTGCTTTGGAAAGCGTGAAAGCTGCCCCTAAACTGTTCTCAGTTCCGGAGAAGGAACTGAAATTAATGAAGCTCTTGCAGAAAACCCAGGGCTCCTTAACCAACCGTGTTATGAAGGCGGCTGGCTGACCAAGATGACAGTGAGTGATCCTTCCGAACTCTGAGCGAGGAAGCATATGAGAAATAACATGAAATCTGGGGCCGGGGAGATGACTCAGAATAAGCGCTTCCTTGGCAAGCACAAGAGTCTGAGTTCAATCCCCGGTTCCACACACACACACACACACAAAAAAAAAAGAGAAAAATACGTGAAATCTGAAATCGACTGAAGAGTGAAGTGGCACCCAAAATAAACTAGTGTGGAGTGACTTCCGCAGAGCTGTCTGCAGGCAGTGGCACAGGAAAGATAAGAAGTGTTAGCAGGGCTATCATGATGGAAAAGAAAGCACTCTCAGCACTGCTCCTGGACAAAAGTACCCCTTACCTCCTTGGTGACTGCAGATAAACACAATGTGCATCTTGAGATATATATATATCTTATGATTTGTAGACTAGGCTGTAGGTTCTCACTGATATTCAGAACTCATGAAGTTATCCACGGTAAAAACTAGGTATAAGAATTTTATAATTCAAGGATAACAGTTATCACCTTAAGTAGCTTGCTTATATTTCTACCTAGATTTGGGTTGAAATACTTAAACAACATGTGTGTCAGTTGTCTAATATCAGATGAAGACTGACACTTTCTTAATTTTATAATGGGCTGCATCAT